ATGATTGATCAATTAATTCCAAAACTAGTTTAAAAAGGTGATACGTATATCTATTTATTTCCAATATCATCACACCTTTTTAAGCATCATAATCATATAAAGTATAAGCCCCAATCATTCAATTCTATAAGTGAAACTAAGCTTCTAAACAAAATAGTTACAAGTTATTCCTTTCCAATGATATTCAGACAATTGGGCCCAAACTTTCTGTTGTTAAGTGAAACATTTGTAAAGTGAAATTTGCCCCATTTTACGACTTTTCTTGCCACAGCTGTTAAGTGAATCACTGTCTTTATTAAGTTAGTAACAGAGTTTTTAAGTGAATGTGGCTTCCCCATTGACTTTGCTTTAAGAAGGTAGCAAAAGGTGATCACATGCCCCAGGGACACTGCAACAGTCATAAATATGAGTCTGTTGCCAAGCATCCAAATTTTGATCATATGACCATGGGAATGGTGCAACGGTTGTTAAGTGTGAAAAATAGCCATAAGTCACTTTTTCAGTGCCGTTGTAATTTTGAACAACTAAATAAACTGTTGTAAGTTGAGGACTACCTGTAGTAATGTGAACAAACTATTTGTAATTTACACTATTAGATTTCATTACAAAAACCACTGTAAAGACTCCATGACTTGGAGAGAAGGATCTCTTAACCCACACTTTCCACATGAATTGTTATTCTTTCTAAGCAACTTAACTTTTAGATTGCATTTCTGCAAAATACACAAAGAAATGCAGAATAGAAACAAAAATAGTACATATATTATAATCAATAAAAGAGAATATTTGTAATTCAGGGTTGAAATGAGGAGCCCTTGGTGCTCTTTGAGCTTGGTTGTTTTCTTGTAAACATTTCATTATCCAAACTAGGTAACATCATCAGTTTGGGTAATGATACATCTGCAAGAAAACAAGTTCAGAGAGCATCATGGACGCCTCACTATATAATAGTCTTTTACCCAAAATTATCACATATATGTATTAAATTCTACTATTTGTTAATATTATCAACAATCACATCAAAGGACACATCAGAGTAGCCTTTTGTAATTTGAAAATTTACATTCTTAAATCATTTACTGTAATATGGTAAGTTCTCCACTTCAGTGATTGAATGAATCAGGGGAAAGGGGGGAATCACTGGAAAAATAGTTATTAATAGTGGAACATTTACAGTATAAAGTCTGTCTGGAATAATGTCAAATAGCCATCAATAAAAATATATTTACCCATAAAGCATGTGAACTTTCAGTACTCTGCTGTACTGTGGGAAAGAGGTTTTTCTAGTTTGCACAAGAAAACAAACATTTCCAATTTTGCAATCCATTCCACTTTCAAGGCATTTTTTTTAACACAAAGCATCTTTTCCTGGCCAATAAATAAATATACTGTGATTACTTTTCAAATAGATATGACTGTGTTAGTTGGGGTTTGTTCAAAGCTCAAGATACTTAAAAAGTGCTTATGATCCATTGTAAGTATTTTTATTCCAGAAATTTTACAAGAACAGACTTCAGAACACTGTTATCTATCCCTATCTATCTATCCCTAATAAGCAATTTTTTGTGGAAATATGTGGAGAATTGCAGTGTAAGAGACCAAATGATGTCCAAGATAAGTTCCAATGTAATACATACAAATATAAATTGAGAGATTTTACTGAGAAGTGGGAAATAATAAGTAAAATAATATACTTTTCTAGTTTTTCTTTATGTTAACCTACACAACTACAAGAAATCATTCTTAAAATACAAGAAATAGAATGTAAGTCACTTCCACAGTCTTCCCAGCTCTTAATCTCTGATTTACAGATGATTGAGACTGATTCCGCCTACTTAATATGACTACTTTCAAATACATTTTGGATATCAAAATATTTTTTGCATCAACATGTTTACCCATTTGCAGGTCTACAAGCTCATAGAGAACCAGTAGCTAGTTACCACTTCTCCTTCCAATTCCTTGCCAATGGATATTGTACCATTAACACAATAATTCATGAATTCTCATATTGGTGAAGATCTAAGGCATCATCATTAGCAAGAGGTCAACTCACTTCATTATTAGAACTGAGAATCCATCCATATTTTTTTTTGTAAAATGTTATAGATATAAAATTATGGAGGTCTCTTTAGTAATCTGAAAACAAAAAAAAATTAATCCAAGTTTTTTTTCCTTTTTCTTTTATATGGAAAAAGAAAACAAGAAAACCCCACAAATATATGTAACTCTTACTAATCAAATATAATCTTATATTTATGTATTCTACAGTGTCAATGACATGTCATGCTACACAACTGATTAAAATTATTTCAAATTAATTGGATGTGACAAACTCTTACAGAATTTAGATATAGGTCATGATATTACTAAGACTTAAAATCAGCCATAAATAATGTCATATGACTTACCAAAATCCCAGCCACCACAGAAGCAACTGTATTTCTTCTTTCACCCCAATCTATACATTCACATTCAGGCCAACGGAAATTGTCTAGGAAGCCTGCCATTTTTCAAATTCAGTTGGGCTTCTTTACTCTTGATTTTTGTAAGTTCCCACCCCTAAACAAAATATTAGAAAAAACATCAAACTGAAAATAAGTGCGGTTATTTTCATGTAAATAGCCTAGATCAGATAAAATGGTTGTTGACGGAACTCAATTATACTTTAGTTTTGTAATATTAGATCCCAATATACTTAAGAATGTTTATTGTGCATTTCTCAGTATTTTGCAATATTGAGTTTTGGAGGGGAACATTAATAGTGGCCTACCCAAAGCCTTTGAGCAAACTTAGAGATATTTAAATAAGAACTTTCTGGTTCATAACTTAGTTAAATGATCAGAAACCAAACAAAATGCTCAATTACAGTCTTTTGAGGAGGGTAGCCTACCTATAGTACAGGAGGGAATTAAAATATCAAGATCAACATTTAGGCCTTTATAGAATGAAGTACCTTGGAGGCTGACACTCCACTATCAAAGCCCCTTAAAACTATGAAGAAAAGGAAAGTGATGAATTGCACTGAATATTATTCCATCAAATAAGAAAGAACACTTCTAGAATTATCAGCATGAACAGTACATTAAAAAGCCACATTCCCTGTATGAACAACCCACATTTTCTGTATGAACAAATAGAGAAATATTAATAAGCCTATTCATGTTTGACTATTACAGCTGAATGAAAGCTGCATTGATTTCAATTATAACTAAGTTTAATACTCTGGATTTGACACTTGTATTCCATTTCTACATTCCTATACTTGTGCATTTATACTCAATTATTTCTCTCAATCCTTCAGCATTAAAATAGAAAAATAGTAATGTGTATTTTTACAAAAGATACACAGACACAAAAATAAAGACTCATCTAGATATGTATTTATACAGAATAATTCTTATTTTAGAGGCTATGTCTAGGTTTACATAATATATTAGGCTAAAATGTGATCAGCTTTTATATGGTCTGTAAACTCCAGGTAACTGGATAAATACAGTAAATCAACATTTAAGAAACAATGAATTAACATGTTATTTTAATAGTCATGAATTAGCATTGACAGGTAATAGTTCTAAGAAAAATTTTTACTCAGAAACTATCTATGAATACAGTAATTATAATAAGCATAAAGTTATCTATAGTATACTATATTCTCTTTTAGCACAATACACAGAACCAGGAAGTGATAAATTAGTAACCCATGTTCCCTATTCAGCGATAAGGATTTTTTTATCGTTACAAAATACAAGAAGGAACAGAGAAAATGTTGTGTCCCCCGCACCGCTTGTCAATGCATACATACACCTTTTATACGTACACATTTGGGTTTTAAGGCCCTAATTTATTTTAGAGATTTTCAGGCAGTTCTTTTTTTTTCATTCTTAAATTTCCAGATATTTCAAGGAAATTTTAAATAAACTTTTAAATAAAAAATATCCCCTGTTTTGGGGCAACAGGCTTGAGACTAGAAAGAGGTACTTCCTCTTTTGATGGAGATAAAAATGTATATCCTTTGAGGCTTTCTCTTTACACAAAAATACCTATTAAGTACATCTAACTTTTGTAACCAATTTTGTGCTGTACTTGCTACTCCCCAAAAATATTCAGTCTGTGACTGAAACAATATACTAATCATTCTAAATGAAGATGAAAGAACAATTTATGCAATTCCTGAACAATTCTTAGCAAAACTAGGGGGAAGCAATCCATCAATTCTCTTTCAGATATTTTGAACTCCAATAAGCCTAACACAGTGCAGTCAATGATCAGAGTATGGCCTTTGGGTTCTAACACTTTTGAAATTGCTGGATTAGTTATAACATCCAACTATTATGTCCAATTCAAGATTGAACAAATTCTATAGACTACACAAGTTAATGTACAAACCTAGGATAGTACAGTCAGCACTTGCTCCTCTCTGCTCTAATGCATTAAGCATTTGTCATAGTTTCATTTGGAAGAAGCTCGCACATTGTCTATTATTCAGAATTAGATTATGAAGTGCAAAGCTACTGAAGATTAGATATTAATATAGTCAAATCAAGAACTTGTTATAATTGTATGAAAATTTACCTGAGAATTAAAACACACTGAACTCTAAAAGAAACATTTCAAGCCAATTCATTATACTCTCGTTCATAATTTATTATTGTAACTGCCGAGAGAATATATCCATTTTTTTAAAACTACAATTTTAATATAGGCTGGCACAAGATAATAAGGTCTCATTCTCAAGATTGTTGTTCTCCAAAAGATCTTAAACATCATTTTATTCATCTAGCAAGAGCGTAGTTACACAAGTAGAACCAGTTTCAAATTAAAAGATACTCGACTATTTCCATCGAGTATAATTAAACCGAACATTACATAGAAGTACCGTAGGTGGAGACTGTTTAGCCAGCTATTCCTGTATAGGGTTTTAATCTTAAAAAAAAAAAAAAGGACGAAGAAAAAGGAAGCACGGAAAGAGATGTAAAAACGATCAAGGTCAACGGTGGCGCATCCACACAGACACGAATAACCTCGCGTGAGGAAGGGAAGTAAAAGGGGCGCTTGAAGGCTAAACGAGCGAGGTGGGAGAGAAAAGGGGCAGCATTAAAGGTTTCTCTTTCCTTTGCAGTTTGTTTGTTTTTGACACCGTCGTCGCACAAGTGAGCGTTAGGCTCCCCGGGTCTCCCCACCACCTCCCAGTTGAGGCGATATATTATTATTTTTTTCCTTTTGGTTTAAAAAGCTTGTCGCGAGTCCAGGAAAGCGAGCGAGGTTCTTCATTCTGCCCGCCTGTGAATCTCATGACCCCCAGAAAAAGAAGGGGCACTGGGCGGCGCCCATTTAATTTAAAAAAAAAAAGCCTACCTCAGTTCCCCTCAGATTAAAGAAAGTAAGCAAGCGGCAGGACGAAACAGCAGGAAGAATGTCTCTACCCCTCTGCCCGAGTCCCCACGAGCCGTTGAGCAAAGCGAACGGGTGGAAGAAGAAGACGACTCCCCCCAACCTAGGTCCTCACCTGGCACAAAGCGCCTCTCCATCCGAGACCCCGCTAACCCGGCTCTACCAGCAAGAGGCATGGGAGAAGGACGGGGCCCTTAACCAATCGACAGCCGGCGTATCTCGTCACAATGGGGGACGGATTTCTTACTAGGAAACGCGAGGATTGGACAGCGGCGGAGACTCGATTTCCCCCCCACCCTCTCCCCGGGAATAAAAGTGAGCACAGAGCGAAGTTCGGCCGGCCTCTTAAAATTTGCAGCATAGGTGAAGATTAGTGAGTTACTGACTCGCCGCCCGCGCGGCTAAGGCGCAGGAGGAAATAGGCAAAGTGGGGGAAGGGTCCAAGAGTGGGAAACTCCTTGAAAGTCATAACGCTCGTTTCGATCTTATCCATTTCTAGGCTGCGTCGACAGTTCCAGGCTGCATCGAGGGATAGAATCAAGATCACGTGAAGTGTTGATACCACTTCATAATGCCATGGTAAGACCACACTTGGAATACTGCATCCAGTTTTGGTCGCGGACCGGAGCCTAAAACCAATTCTTGAATACAGCTCATCTGTCTGGAACCCACACTGCATATCGGACATTAATACAATTGAGAGAGTCCAGAGATATTTCAGGAGAAGAGTCCTCCACTCCTGCTCGCAACAGAATATCTTATGCCACCAGACTTGGAATTCTGGGCTTAGAAAACTTAGAACTTCGCCACCTTCAGTCCGACCTAAGTGTAGTACACAAAATTATCTGCCACAATGTCCTGTCAATGAATACTTCAGCTTCAACCACAACACAGGAGCACATAAGATACAAACTTTTAGTAAAACGCGCCAAACTTGATTGCAGAAAATACGATTTCAGTAACAGAGTTGTTAATACCTGGAATGCACTACCTGACACTGTGGTTTCTTCCCCAATCCCCCAAAACTTTATCCTTAGACTGTCTGTTGACCTCACCCCATTCCTAAGAGGTCTTTAAGGGGCGTGCATAAGCGCACCAGCGTGCCTACCGTCCCTGTCCTAATGTTCCTTTTTATTTATATTCATTTCATGTATTCATAATTATGGTTATATTTATACCTGTTATCTAATACATGCTTGACGAAATAAATAAATATAAAGAACGGTTGCTGGAATTGGATATGTCTAGTTTAATGAAAAGGACTAGGAGTGACATGATAGCAGTGTTCCACTATCTCAGGGGTTGCCACAAAGAAGAGTCAAGCTATTCTCCAAAGCACCTGAGGGCAGGACAAGAAGCAATGGATGGAAACTAATCAAGGAGAGAAGCAACCTAGAACTAAGGAGAAATTTCCCAACAGAACAATTAATCAGTGGAACAACATGCTTCCCAAAGTTGTGAATGTGCCAACATTGGAAGTTTTAAGAAGAGATTTTAAGACCATTTGTCTGAAATGGCATAAAGTTTCCTGCCTGAGCAGGAGGTTGGACTAGAAGACCTCATTTTGCTTGCTTCTTCTATGGTATTCATACAAAGCCAGCATTGATTCAACAATTTTTCGCAGTGTAAATCTAGATAGGTTTTGAGGTACTTGAAAGCAGAAGGAAGAATTATATTCACCCTCCATCACAATTCCTTTCCTACCAGGAAGATAAGTTGCCCCACTAGGGAGGCAAAACTGAATTTTCAGGAGCAATAGTTCCTATTCAGGAGCTATTCAGGAGCAATAGTTTTGTTAGCCTTGTCCTCCATTAATTTATCCAATGTCCAATATATATTTTTATATATGTTTTTAAATGCCCTTGTAAGTGGACCAGAGTTGTTCCGGATAATATAAAGGCGTGACATATAAATATAATCAATAAATAATGATGATCTCAGGTGCTGTTAACTACAGCAGACTCATAACTCACTTTTTACATTTTTGTTTCAAATCTGTTTCCAATCGGCTTCACTGGTTCCCAATCCTGGTTTGAGAGGGAGACAGAGTCTTCATTTACTCCATGCATGATTTTATATAATTTGCTTCCCTATTTGCCTTTTTTTCCAAGATAGAGCTTTCAAATACCTTGTTCTCATAAGAACTTTCAGCCCATGATCATTTTATTTGCCCTCTTCTGTTCTTCTTTCCATCTGTTACTATATCCTTTTTAAAAATGTGGTGATAGAATATTCTTTATCGGCCAAGTGTGATTGGACACACAAGGAATTTGTCCCGGTATATAAGCTCTCTGTGTACTTACAAACAACAAAGTAATATAATCATAAGATATCAATAGGAGAAGGTAACAGGAAAGACAATGAGAAAGATAATAATATAACCCTACTACATGGGTAAATATCCTTAGACATAAGACAGTGCTGTGGGAATTAGGTGTTCAGCAGTGATGGCACAAAAGAAAAAACTGTCCCTTGTCTAGTGGTTTTGGCATGCAATGCCCTATAGTGGCATCCTGAGGGGAGGAGTTCAAACAGTTTATGTTCAGGTTTTTTAAGTGTGGTGATTAGAACTTACATAGTGCTCTATGTGCATTACATTTTCCAAAAAGATGTTATTTTTCTATTAATCCCTAGCTGCATGAATAATTTTGGCTGCATGTATAATTTGTATTTGTGTACTCTTCAGTTGGTCTTGAGTCATGGTGACTTCCCACATAAGGTCCTGCTGTTTTCTTGGAAATGTTTATATACCGTTGTTTTTATAAATAACTCAAGGCAGCAAATATAGCTAATACACCTTCCTTCTCCTATTTTCCTCACAACAACCACCCTATGAGGTGGATTGGGCTAAGACTGAATGACTGGCTCAATCCTCAAGCTGGCTTGCATGCCTACAGCGGGACTAGAACTCACCATCTCCTCATTTCTAGCCTGATCCCTTAACCCAGGGTTGTCAAACTCACATCGTCACGGTAGCATCACATGACATATCGGGGCTTTTTCCCCCTTCACAAACCAGGAGTGGGTGTGGCCAGTGTGTGATGCATCTGGCCCACAGACCAGGAGTTTGACAGCTCTCCCTTAACCAGTAGAGAAAACTGGTTTTGCAATTTTGCAGAAGCAAGCTGTTGTCTTTCTCCTAGGGCAAAAAGAGACAGGCCCAAAGTTACCCAATTGGTTTCTTGACTAATAATTCATACAGCATTTGAATTCAGTGTCTCATAGTTTCTAGCCTGGTATTTAACCACTACATCAAACTGGTTCTTATGTACAATGTATTACACTTATGTGAATTGTACTCCTTTTGCCATTTGGTTGAGGATTCTCACAATTCAGAGAAAGCCTACAGAGCTCTTCACAATCTCTTTGGTGTTTTACTACCCGTAATCTAACATAATTGGAAAAGTCAGCTAGCTCATTGCTTATCTCTAGTGAAGATCGTTTATGAGTTGGCTAGAGATCTTGACTTGATATAGTTAAAAAGTACTGGTCCCAACAAAGATCCTTGAGGAACTCCACTTCCTCATTCATTGTGAAAACTTTAGTAACAACAACTGTAACCAGCAAATCAGTCATTAAGTGAGACAATTGCTAAGTGCTTATGATCTTTGGCTTTCCTTTGCTTTATAGACCTGTGAAGGATATAAAAGCAAGCACTGGTTTTAAAGTTACTTTTTCATCACTGTTATACTGCAAATTGTTACTAAAAAGGACAATCTGTATTTGTTCTTATTCTTGCTATCTGTTCTTTAGCCATTTGCAATGTTCTTACACTTAATACGGCCAGAATGTGTGTTCCTTTTTGTCTTACTAAACAAAACTTTTTTGTCTTATTAGAGTAAACTTTCAATTTCCTGAAGAAAGCCTTATTTTTACATCCTTGTGAATACCACTGGAAAGCTGTCCTTCAGCTGGTTGATCCTTTATGTTGTGAAATATGTTCTACTTGAACATCAGATAGCATGGTTTTAAATAACCTTCAAATATTTGAAGATATTTGGGCCAATAGACTTTTCAGTCTTTTTTTCAGCACTTTTTGCTGAAAAAATGCATTTTTGAGAAATTTGTCATTCTAAACCAAATTTATCCTTCTAACACAATTAAATCTGGATCCTGCTGGCAGATTCCTATTTGTATATCTTCTAAATTCAATGCCATTACCAGACAATCCATGACCAATTGTGTGATCATTTCAGAGATATTTCCTTATCAGATTCCGCAATGGTGGAGCTTATGATGTAGCGCAAAAGTTCTTAAATATTATGGAAATATTCAGAGATCTCTCTGCCTTGAAAGTAGTCCATATTGAACTGTATGGCACAGGAAATGTTTTATGACATTTTTTAGGTTATAATGTTACACATACTCTATGTTAGCCTGTTTGAGGTGCCTTGGTTTAAAAATTATTGCCTTACAATGTACCATTTTGCCCAGCTAAAGGTTTCACTCAAACAGGAGAATTTTAGTAGTACACTAGACAACCAGTGACCAATTCAACCATTATTTCCAAGATATTTCCTTAGCAGATTCCTCAAAGCCTTCAACAATGGCAGAGCTTCTAATATAATGGAAACCCCGTAGTTTTGGAACCCCGAGTGGTGGCATGTTTCAAAGCGGGGCTTGAGGGGCCTTTTAATTAGAGTTTTTAACCAAATTTTAAGGGGACTCGGGAGGCGGGGGGTAAGGAATGAGTCGGGGGCGGCTCTCACAGTTCAGCAACCTGGCCCGTCTGAAGTTGGTGGGAGGGGAGGGGGAGGGAAAGAAGAGGCTCGGTGGAGTGATGGTTGGGAGGGGCAGGGGATGTGAGAGGGGGAGATCTGGAGAGCACCCCCGCTGTATCCAAGCGGTGGCGTGCTCCGGCCCCCTGGGCTCATCCTGCTTCCCCGGGGGTGTAGGAGGGTGGAGCCCTGGACTCCGACTGGTGTATCTGAATGCCAGGTCTGTGATGAACAAGGCCCTCCTCGTCCGAGATTTAATTGACGAGGAGGACGCAGACCTGGCTTGAATTACAGGGACCTGGTTAGGGCCAGAGGGAGGTGTCCCTCTCACTGATTTATCTCCCCCAGGCTTTCGTGTGCTTCACCAGCCACGACTTCAGGATAGGGGCAGGGGGAGTGGTGGTTATTAGAGAAAGTCTCAGTCCCAGGGAGGTCACTGTTCCTCAGATAGGCGGGTGTGAATCGCTCCTTTTGAAGTGGGACCCTGGAGTTCAGTCGGGCCTGTTGATTACGTACTTATCTCCCAGCTGCGTAGCCTCAGCCCTGCCCGCACTACTAGATGTCCTGGCCGAGTTGGCGGTTGAACTCCCCAACCTTTTGGTTGTAGGAGACTTCAACTTGCCATCGGCCGGGGAGACATCTGAGCTAATTCGGGAGTTCATGACCTCCATGTCGGCCATGGACCTAACTCAGGTTGTACAGGGCCCAACTCATAAAGGAGGACACACACTCGACCTGATTTTTCTCTCTGGACAGCGGATAAATGACCGGGGTAGGGAGCACTTATCCATCCACCCCCTGGCATGGACCGATCATTCCCTCCTCAGGCTGGACTTTCTCTCCGTCATACCCCACCGCTGGGAGGCGGAACCAGTGAGAAGGTTCCGGCCCAGGCGCCTGATGGACCCAGAAAGGTTCCTGATGGAGCTTGGGCCATTTCCCGCCTCCTTAACCCACGATTCGTCCAAGGCCGTGGTGGCAGCCTGGGAACAGGCTGCGGTGGGGGCCTTGGATCGAATCGCGCCTTTGCGGCCTCTGACCCGACACAGATCCCGGGTGGCTCCATGGTTTACCGTGGAGCTCAGGGAAATGAAGCGTCGGAAAAGACGCCTGGAGGGCAGTTGGAGATCCTCCTGGACCAAATCTGACCCAAGACAGTTAAGAACCCATATTAGGTCTTATCTTGTGGCGATGAAAGCAGCGAAACGTCATTATTTCGCCGCTCTCATTGCATCTGCAGAAAACCGCCCAGCTGCCCTGTTTAGAGTGACCCGTGGAGTGCCTCAGGGGTCGGTTCTCTTCCCCCTGATCTTTAACATCTATATGAAGCCGCTGGGTGAGATCATTCGTGGTTTTGGGGTGAAGTACCATCAATATGCTGATGATACTCAGCTTTATATCTCCACCCCGGACCACCCTGGGGATGCCCTTTCTGTGATGTCCCGCTGCCTGGAAGCGGTACGGCCTGGACGGAAAGAAACAGACTCAGACTCAACCCATCCAAGACTG